GTACCAACAATAATTAGTGGAATTGCATCAACCATAAGAGACACAGACTGGGTAGCACCAAAAGAAAGTCATGTTGAGTTCTTGAAACACATAATCATTTCTTCTTATTTAGAAACAAACAAACACCCAACACGAAACCCTTCAATAATGATGTCCTGGGAATGGGGTAAGAGTAGGGCCTGAGGGAAGAAAGGAAAATCAACATGTTTAGAAACTCAAACTTCTGAGGCAATCTTGGAAAAATTCATTCCAGAAAATGTAGAGAAACCAAAACTATTATCCCCAGGAAATAGCACTAATCAATGTCCTCAACAGCAACATCGTTGTGCATTAAACTTGAGTGTCAGATGTTTTGATTCCTACTAAAGACAGTTCAGGGAAGAAAGTGATTTTGTTTAATTTTTTTGGTCCAGTTTTTCTGAGTGAAATTTTGTGGACATGTGGGTAAATTCATGGATAGTAAAACTCCAAAGTTTTGGTGAAGGAAACTTGGGCTGTGGTGACAATCTACAGGTGCATCAGGTGGGCTCCCAGGCAGGGCCTCAGGTGCAGCTGGAAGCCTATGACCTGGACAGCCAACACCCTTCCACAGCAGAGCAGTTCTCACATTTTTATGAGCCTCTAGACAACATCCATTTAAATATCGATGCCTTTGTTTTTGTAAATAAAGTTTTATTGGAGCACAGCCACACCCATTTGTGTGCATATGGTTTATGGCTGCTTTCATGCCAAAAGGGCAGGACTGAGTAGTGGCAACTAAGACTGTCTGGCTCTCAGTGACTTAAATATCTGTTGTCAGGCCTTTTACAGAAAATATTTATTCCCTAGGTGGCATGAGGATTTACTGCTTGACTTAAGCATGATAGAGTTTCAAAAACAATTTTTTTTGTTTAGTTTCCCACCAAAGCCATAACTGAAGAAAGAAAAAAAAATTTTTTTAAAGCCAAATGGAATTTATAATTACATCAAAAGCTAAGAAATAAAATAAAAGAAGCGCAATACACACCAGTCTTCTGACCATGCAATTTGATCTCTCTTGCACAGCAGAATAGACAGGGGGTTGATAACCATGCTAGACCAATAATTTCCAATTTTTCTGATAAGAACTATGACAAAGGACACCTTAATAAGTGACCAGGAAGCACCTACACAGCCCATTTATTAAACACCTTTAGCAGCTGTTAAAACAGGAAAACAAGGATATCCACAACTTCCGTTTTCATCTCCTTAAATGGTTCACTTTTTCTTGCATTAATGAACATTAAAAAGGTAGACATTTACATTTTTGATTGAGAATAAAATGCAATGAGGAGATTTAATCAAAGCAACTTAGGAGTCTAATTAATGCAATCAGCATTAGGTCGTGCAAATGTGGTCATTGAATGCCATCGTGTAAAGCTGGTGATGGTGATTTGGGCTACTGGAAGCCTAGCCCCTCTGTCAGCAAGATAAAACCAAGAGAGGAGGAGACAGAAACTGAATGCCAAGCCCAAAGCTGGGTTGTTCTTTCCATGTTTAGCTTTTCTTATGAGTCATTTAGTAACCTTATCAAAACTATCTTATATGGCTAAATTCTTAATGCTCTATATCCCGTCAAAGCCTTGAAAGTCTCATTTCTGGACAATGCTGTGTCGGAGTAATATTAAAATGGATAATGGAGTTGCATTATGTCTAATCTTGTCAGTGAAAAGGAGTGGTAAAGGTAAATTAATTCTTTCTAGCTTCAAGGACACCACAAAGTACAGAAATTTATTAAACACAATCCTAGTAGCCTAGAAGAAAATTCATAAGAACATAGGAACATTATTTTCTCCTTTTCAAAGGCATTAGGCTTATTGTTTCACTTCTTGAGTATTTCTAGGACATCAGCCATCATAGTACTTAGTCAAGCGCAACTATATTTTATTTCGATCTCATCCAACAATATGGCTGTATACTTTACATAGCCATGAAAATTAGAACCAGCTAATTGACTTAGGACTCGAAATAAATTGTATGAGGACCAAGAAAATGTTTCACCAAAAATGCAACCTCTAGGTTATAGCCTAGTATTGTGTGGGGGTAAAGCTACTTACCTAAGAGGCTGTATCATAAGCAACACAATCACCATGACCTTTATAAGGATTCTTGGTGGGTTTCATAGGATCTTTTACACCTACATGGAACACGTTAGCGTATTCCCTATAAACTTTTAATTAATTTTATATTTTTTTTTTTAGAAAAGTCATGCATGTGATGTAATTGCTATGGACCTGGGACTCCTTCCTAGTCCAACAAAATCACATCATGATGTATGTACATGTATGTATATGCATATATGTACTATAGTAAGCTAAGCCCCTTGGCATATATCCTAAGTGTAACGTCATAGGAAGGCTTGATTATGTTTAACTTCCATCACATGTAAAAGACTGGCTATAACAAACATCTCTCAGACTTCCAAATTTATTATGAAACATTGGAGATGCACATATTTAAATATCCTTAACTATACACCATCCTCATTACTGGCAATTTTACCTAAAACTAACCAAACATCAAGTGATTCCAAAATTTCTGTGGCATGATGTATAGCAGATTATTGAATTTTAAGTAATGAACACTTGACTTATGACTTTCCAGAATGAAAGAGTACAAGTAATCATTTTTTAGAGGTGAATGGTGTTGGAAATTGGCGTTCAGTTAATGGCTCGCAAATATACAACAGTGCTCTTTGATCCCGCATCCCATTCCTTCACACGATGGCTTCAATGCTCAGTCCCACTCACCATTGTAGTTTCTGCTATTGACCCAAAGCTGTTGATAAATATGTTGCAGGTAACATTTACAGGAGGCCCTGCAAGTTGAACAATAAATAGAAAATTTGACAGGTTGTGTTCATGGCATAATCAAGTCATGTTTTTCTCTTGCCAGTGGCATGTTAGCACTTACCATGGTGGTTTCTGTGACCGATCCAAAACTGTTGATAAAAATATTGCAAGTAACGTTTACTGGAGGACCTGCAGAATGCAATAAGAATATTGCAATAGACATTGAAGCAAAGATACAGCTCCATCAACATCTGTGCAAATGGTTAAAGATGCAAATAAAGTTAAATGATGGCGAGATTGCAAAGAAAAATTTTACCCAGAGGTCCACAGTGATAACATTCCCGCTAGTATTTCGGATAATGACAGTTAAGCAATGATAACTAACCATGAAGAGTTTTGGATTTGGAAAATATAAGCCAAAGACTATTAAATTGAATTTATTACTCTAAGTTGCTAATAAAATAGTTCTTTGGGTCTTTCTTTGACCTTAGGGACATCAACATTGTAGTCATCAACGTTTTAGACATAAACCCCCATGGTGGTAAAATAGCCCGGACCATGGGGTCAAATGAAGCAGCATCTTAAATTGTGGGTAGATCAGGAACATCTGCTTCCTTTTGTGTGACACCCTTTAATCAAGTGGGTCTACTTTGATTCCGTTGACACCTCTGAAGTTACCCCATTCCTTCTTTACATCCTCTGACTCCCAATGAAGCATGGTGTACAGGAATGCAAAAACAAAGAAAATGAACTTATGTTAAGACGTAAACACACACACAACGTCACTTAATATCCATATTGTTGCCTTAAGACACAAGGTGTAAAGCAAGTGTTATTACATACATCCTAGAGATGTTTGGAACCAAGTAAGAGACCACTTTTCTCTTCAGAGACCCAAGGACTAGCCTGACTCTAGCCCCCTTTTCCTCTTGCCCTTCAGCAACAGGCAAATCACTCTCATGATTTCTGCCTTCATATTGTTTTTTTATAATTTTATTTTATTTTTTGTGAAAATATACATAGTAAAGGATACACCACATCAACAAATTCCACATGTACCGTTCAGTGATATTGTCTATCATCTTCAAGTTGTGTAACTGTTTTTGCTATCTTTTTCTAAATTATTCCAGCACCATTATTATAAAGTCACTGTCCCCTAAGCTTCTCATCTAACCTTTCGAGATGCTGTGGTCAATTTGATCCCACATAGATAAATCTTTGAGAGAGCACAATGCTGAAGGCAGACATACTTTACTAACTAGGCTAAACTGTTGTTTGTTTCATAGCTGACTTCTGGGAAAAATTTTGGTTTGAGGTTTAAGGTTTAAAGATTATCTCAGGACGGCCTTCATGTTTTGCTGGGGAATATGCTTGTTGCCTTCATGGAATTTCCTGGGATACTTTCCGAAATAAGAAAGTATTGCCGTGAGCCATCCATTCACTCACTACTTTCCCCGTGGAAATTTGTCTCTTTTCCCTCTACAAAAGCCCAGCACCCCAGTGCAAGCTATACCCCAGTTGGCTTTGTATCCACAAGCCAGCAGGATCTGAATGAAGAGGAGTTTGGCTTGAGGCCTCCCTCAAAGGCTGGTAGTAAAAACACAAGCTGTGGCAGCACTTGAGCACTGTGTTTGCAAACTCCAGGAGTCTATGTTGGGTGCTCGAAAAGAGGAAAGGAAATTTGGGCTAAAACAGCTCATTTAACTCCTCAAGCAAGAATCAAGGAGATTTGGTACAAGATATGTGTTAATTGGTTTTTCTTTTTAACATACCTACCTTTTTCTGCTTGTAGTGAAAAAATAAATGTGTTCAGTTTAAAAAAAATGTTCACAGGCATAGAGTCACAGGCACTACCCTACCAAAACAATTTTCAGCCTATCTCCTTTGAAATCTTTCGAGTCTTTCTAGTTCGCCCTAGTTCCTCTTATGTCGACATCTGCCAAGATGAGTTCTTCTCCATGGTTACTTCCTACCCTGCTTAATTTTGTTTTTCTCTTCTGGTTAATAAAAAAACAAAACAAACAAACAAACAAAAAAACACGAGTCTTTCTCTTTCTTGGCCGTGCAATTCTATTCTATAACAAATACATTTTTCTGCTAACAAGAAATAAATTAGAAAAGGTAGCGGCAAGTCACAAGAAATTGTGTTTGCCTTTTTTGCCCTCTCTGCAATGAAATATTTTCTTTCAGATCGTGCAATTCGAGATGAAAAACGTTCATGAATTCTTCTATGCAAGATAGAAAATGAATGATGGGGGAAGAAACAGGAAAAAGAGAAAGATCATTTTAACAGGTGGGATTTAAAAATCGAAATGTAGGTTGTCTTGCATTGTACATTATCTGTCCTTCTCGCCTCCCCAACAGGCTTGGAAGCATTTAGAAGGCTGGGTCAGCCGGTCATATATTTGTTTTTATCCTTCCCGGTAATTGGCAATGTGAGTATATTGCTGGAACTAAAAATATTTTTTAAGCTAGCACATATTGAAGCACTATGCTAAGCACGTTAAAATTACCTAATTTAATCCTCACTAAAGAGGAATTTTTTTTATTGCTCCGGTAAATGTTTACAGATGAGGAAACCAAGGTTTAGAGAGGTTAAGTAACTTGCCTAAAGTCATGCCGCAAGTTATTAGATAAGCAAAGACTCCGTATCTCGTCATTCTGATTCCAAATACCTGAACTTGAACCACTTTGTGGCACTGCCTTCATTACAATGTCCTCTCTCTCTCCTGACCAGCTAACCGTGGTCTAGCAGGGTTTTCCATTGGTCTGTAAGCTCCTGGGATGATTTGATCCTTTACATCTGACCTCTTTAATCGTGGGCGTTGTTTCACAGTTCATTTTGGTTTGGGATAGAAAAAGTTGGAAATAAAAACAACTTTAAGTTGTTGTTTTTTTTTTTGTTTTTTTTTTTTTTTTCCTGAATGAGGAATTACCACATCCATATCATAAGAGCTGACACAGGTTAAATTTCTCTGGGTGTCAGTGAGTGCCTTGTCTCATCTCATCTCATTCAGTAGTCCCGTAATTAGGTGCTATCATGACTCCTGTCTTGTAGAGGAGGAAACTGAGGCACAGAGGTGGTTAATTAATTTGCCCAAGGTCACAGGGTTGGTAAGAGGCGGAAATTGCCTAACTTTAGGGACTTTTTTTAGCCACAGAGGTAAAATGCCTGAGACCAATAGAATTACTCTAATGATAGAAGCTCCCTGAATATGAGACTCATCCTGTGAGGTATTGGGTTGAATGATAGGATTGTTTGTTTGTTTTCACTTTTAAGAGTTATCCTGATGTATGCCAGCACAACCTTTCATCTGTACTTTTGTCCAGGGATCTGCTCGGGTGTTCTGATTAACAAGGACATGCTCTTAGATGTGATCACCAGCGAATGAATTGTTTTGTAAACTATAGAAAGAAATAGTTAACACTAGCTAACCTCACTTAATTGATTTATTGGCAAACTGACGTTGCTCCAAAGTGAGTTGGATGAGAATCTGACTGGGTAGATGAATTATATAGACATCTAGTCTCTCATATCACTGTCCTTCCCTCCCTCCCTCTCATTCTTCCGTTCTTCTTTTGCCTTATTCATATGAAAAAGAGAGGTCTGGCTAGAAATCAAGTATGCAATTCAATTAGAAACGGAAGTGAAATAGATTTGGAACTCTTTCAACGCATTTGGCAGAATGGCTCCCCTGGCTGACCCCCAGCACGAAGGATGACAAGCCCTATCCCATACTGATCCTCTTTATTGCTATATATAATTGTCTCAGAGTAACTTCTTTGAAGTAAGAAATCCATATAAAATTACAAGCATGTTACCTGGGAGGGATAATGAAGTTATCTATCATTGTCCATTAACAGCTTCATTTTTGGATCAGTTGAACAAATTGGCTGTAGTAGGGAAGAGGATTACATAGGGTGCTGCCCCCACTGTTATATCTCCTGCTACTCAAAGTGTGGTTCAAGGACCAGCAGCATCAGCACCACCTGGGAGCTTGTTAGAAATGCAGAATCTCAGGCCCCACCGAGACCTGCTGAATTGGAGTCTGCCCTTTAACAAGGCCCCCAGGGGATTTGGTGCTACTGATCATTTTTCTCCCTTTCAAGATCAACATCACTTGTACGTTCAGTCTTTCATGAGTGCTCTTTGAAATGTTAACTGTAGTACATTAATAAAACTTCTAAGGTCAACCAAGTTTGGAAAACTCTGTTTAATAAAGTGAAACAGGTTTCTTTAATGTAGGTTTCCTGAAAGATTTTAATACACCTGTGTGAATTATGTTGCTCCTGAAGAAGAAAACAGCGTGTATCATTATTTCCCAAACGTATCGGACCATCGTAGATTTTTTTGTTTTTCAAATGGACCATTCTTTTTCATGGAGCACATTTCAAAGATGGGAAACGTTCTGCAAAACATAGTTTTAGAAATGCTGCTCCACGTTATTCATTTATTTTTTCAATTAACAAATACTTGTTGAAAACCAAATATCTTAGATGATAATAACAGAACTAGGAATAAGACTGAAAGACCATCACAGGGCTATGTGAAAATTCTGTGTTCCTGCCAAGGACAGAAAGTCTTATTGGGGGAATGGATGCAGAGACATGCCTGAGATGGCGAGGCAATGAAGGGGAACAAACAATCAGTGAAGATCAGTTTAACCTTTCCCAGTTATTTGTCTAAGACTAAACACTTGTGTGATGGTCCTCTAGTCTAGAGATATAACTCACGGGTGCGAGCTATAAACTCTGCTTGCAATTGGATTTGACAAATTATTCATTGCTAGATGAGATATGTGAGATTAAAAAAAAAAATTCTCTTAAAATCTCAGTGACCTAGGCTAGGAGTTGGCAAAATTTCTTCTGTAAATGGCCAGATAGTAAATATTTTAGGCCTTTTGGGCCACAGGATCTCTGTCATAACTGTTCAATTCTGCCACTGTAGTGAAAGCAACCACAGACAGTATGTAAACAGAGGGTTGTGGCTATGTTCCAATAAAATTTTATTTACAAAAACAGAAGGTAGACTGTATTTGGCCCGTGGGCCTTTGTTTGCCTAGCTCTGTTCTGGACTCTTGGAGGTTGGGGAACAACAGAAATTTTCTGAAATTCCATGGTCTTTTCATGGCTGGAAGTGAGGGCAGGCCATGGACACGGAGGAGCATAAGGACCATCTGTTGGACTATCTACAATGAGTTTAATGTGCTCTGCAGCATGAGCAAAGTCCACTATAGCAGAAAGATTGAGTGGAAAATGAGGCCCTTAGAGCCGGCTGCACTGGAGTATTGTTCTTAGGTGCCTTCGAGTTGGTTCTGACTTATAGCAACCCTATGTACAGCAGAACGAAACACTGCCTGGTCCTATGCCATCCTCACAATCATTGCTATGTTTGAGCCCATTGTTGTGCTACTGTGTCAGTCCATCTCATTGACGGTCTTCCTCTTCTTCTTGACCCTTTACTAAGTATGATGTCCTTCTCCAAGAACTGATCGCTCCTGATAACATGTCCAAAGTACATGAGACGAAGTCTCAGCATCCTCACTTCTAAGAAGTATTCTGGCTGTACTTCTTCCAAGACAGATTTGTTCATTCTTCTGGCAGTCCATGGTATATTCAGTATTCTTCACCAACACCATAATTCAAAGGCATCAATTCTTCTTCGGTCTTCCTTATTCATTGTCCATCTTTCGCATGTATATGAGGTGATTGAAAGTATCATGGCTTGAGTCAAGCTTACCTTAGTCCTCAAAGTGGCATCTTTAGTTTTTAACACTTTAAAGAGGTTTTTAAAGCTGATTTGCCCAATGCAATATGTCATTTGATTTCTTGACTGCTGCTTCCGTGGGCGTCGATTGTGGACCCAAATAAAATGAAATCCTTTGACAACTTCAATCTTTTCCCCATTTGTCATGATGTTGCCTATTGATCCAGTTGTGAAGATTTTTGTTTTCTTCATATTGAGATGTAATCTATACTGAAGGCTGTAGTCTTTGATCTTCTTCAATAAGTTCTTCAAATCCTCTTCACTTTCAGCAAGCAAGGTTGTGACATCTGCATATCGAAGGTTGTTAATGAGTCTTCCTCCAATCCTGATGCTGCATTCTTCTTCATGTAGTCCAGCTTCTCGAATTATTTACTCAGCATACAGATTGAATAAGTACGGTGAAAGGATACAACGCTGACGCACACCTTTCCTGATTTTAAACCGCATAGTATTCCCTTGTTCTGTTTGGATGACTGCCTCTTGATCTATGTATAGGTTCCTCATGAGCACAATTACGTGTTCTGGAATTCCCATTTTTCACAATGTTATCCATTATTTGTTATGATACACACAGTCGTATACCTTTGTGTAGTCAACAAAACACAGGTAAACATCCTTCTGGTATTCTCTGCTTTCAGCCAAGATCCGTCTGACATCAGCAATGACATCCCTTGTTCCATGTCCTCTTCTGAATCCGGCTTGGATTTTTTTTTTTTTTTTTTGAATTATCTCCTGCAACATTTTACTTGAGTGTGATAGTAATGATATTGTTTGATAATTTCCACATTCTGTTGGATCACCTTTCTTTGGAATGGGCACAAATATGGAGCTCTTCCAGTCAGTTGGCCAGGTAGCTGTCTTCCAAATTTCTTGGCATAAATGAGTGAGTGCTTCCAGCATTGCATCCGTTTGTTGAAACATCAATTGGTATTCGCTCAATTCCTGGAGCCTTGTTTTTCGCCGATGCCTTCAGTGCAGCTTGGACTTCTTTCTTCAGTACCATTGGTTCTTGATCATATGCTACCTCCTGAAATGGTTGAACATCAACCAATTCTTTTTGGTACAGTGACTCTGTGTATTCCTTCCGTCTTCTTTTGATGCTTCCTACACTGTTCGATAGTTTCCCTGTAGAATCCTTCACTATTGCAACTCGAGGCTTGAATTTTTTTCTTCAGTTCTTTCAGCTTGAGAAATGCTGAGCGTGTTCTTCCCTTTTGGTTTTCTAACTCCAGGTCTTTGTACGTTTCATTATAATACTTTACTTTGAATTCTCAAACTGCCCTTTGAGGTCTTCTGTTCAACTCTTTTATGTGATCATTTCTTCCATTCACTTATCTACTTGACGTTCAAGAGCAAGTTTCAGAGTCCCTTCTGACATCCATTTTGGTCTTTTCATTCTTTCCTGACTTTGTAATGACCTTTTTTGCTTTCTTCATGTATGATGTCCTTGATATCCTCCCACAGATCATCTGATCTTCAGTCATTAGTGTTCAATGCATCAAATCTATTCTTGAGATGGTCTCTAAATTCAAGTAGGATATACTCAAGGTTGTACTTTGGCTCTCGTGGACTTGTTTTAATTTTCCTCAGCTTAAACTTGAATATGAACAATTGATGGTCTGTTCTGCAGTCGGGCCCTGGCCTTGTTCTGACTGATGATATTGAGCTTCTCCATTTCCACAGATGTAGTTGATTTGATTCCTGTGTACCCATCTGGCAAGGTCCACCTGTATAGTCACTGTTTATGTTGTTGAAAAAAGGTATTTGCAATGAATAAGTTGTTCTTGAAAAATTCTGTCATGCAATTTCCAGCGTCGTTTATATCACCAAGGCCATATTTTCCAAGTGCTGATCCTTCTTCTTTGTTTCCAACTTTGCATTCCAATCACCAGTAATTATCAATGAGTCTTGATTGCATGTTTGGTCAATTTCAGACTGCAGAAGTTGGTAAAAATCTTCAGTTTCTTCATCTTTGGCATTAGTGGTTGGTGGATAAATTTGAGTAATAGTGTTATTAACTGGTCTTCCTTGTAGTCCTATAAATATTCTCCTATCACTGATAGCATTGTACTTCCAGATAGATTTTGAAATGTTC